CAAACAAGAGGTTCGTGGGATCCTAGGAGGCCCATGAGTAGGCTATAAAAGGTACATGAATTCCCAAAATTTATGCACAATTTAGAAGGTGAGTGGGTTTGTAGCTTTCCTCAGATTCTTATAGAGTTCAGTGGCCTAAAGAGGTTTTGAGACATTGTAGTTTAAGGTATTGAGAGGAGAGCCTGAGATCTTGGAGGGAAGCTAGTGTCGATCAGAGTTTCAGAGACTACCACTAGCCTAACTCACAAGAGACAAGAATACAAACCTGAATTCTCCTACAGGGGAGGAAAATTTTTCCTCTACTCCTCTAGATTGTTTTAGCTGGCCTATTAATTAAATTCACGTAAGACGATTAACAGGAGAAAAACAAATGTAATTATGTATGTACCAAAGCCCCATTAGAATATGAGACCCAATGTCAAGCCAGGCGATAGGTTATATACCCTCCTGAGCTAAGGAATAGGATAGAGGCCTGGGCTTCAAAGTGGAAGAGGGTAATTCACAGGACTGTAAGAAGAGCAGATGTTTAGTAATTCGATATTTGTCCTCCCATGTGGATAGGTCTTTCAGATAAAAAGTTGTCTCTGGTAATAGTTCTTTTTCTTGAGTCTGCTGGGTCTTGATTGCCTTTAGCTCCAAATAATCCACATGTCATAGTGCATATTTGGGGGTCACATACTTTGCTCCCCCTTACTCCTGTGTTTATGAATAGGGAGATTGTCCATCTAGGGACCGTGCCCGATTCCCTCGACCCTTTTTGCTTGACAGCATTCTCCTGTTGATAGGAGCCCTTCAAAACACAGCCTTTTAGCTTCTGCCTGTTTCTCCTTTTACCACATGACCTGGCAATGGGATCTGGTGAGAAACAGATCCACTCAGCAACCCTTTACTGAAATCAGGGTATCTGGAAAATAAAATAGGTGCTCAGAAGAACAGCAAAGGAAAGGAGTTGCAGAATCAGAAGGGATATGTTTATACAGACTATGATATAATCTGGTGAATTCTTGCTGTACCACATCGAAGTACACCTTGCTACTGACCACTCCTGTCTGTCACATGCAGTCTTCCTCTCTTTCTTCTGGAACAGTGCTGGGTAAAAGCCAAGACTCACCTTGGATCATCTTTTTGAACATGCAGACCAGCCTTTCCATTAATATATTCTTCCTGCAGAAAAATTATAATGCAATTGATTATATTAAGAGGATTTTTTTTTTCTTTTTAACATTTAGTAGTATTTGGATGAAACAGTATTCTCTTAATTTGATCTGGTCGTTCCCAAAACTCCTTTTTCAGACATTTACCTTCTCTCAGGATGGGTTACTTTGTCAGGTGGTTAACTTCATCCATTATTCACTGATTCTTATTAGTTTCACAGTCAGAGATTTGCCTTTTCAAGTTCTGACTGTGCCTTACAGATGCCAAACAAGGGACCCACTTCTCTCCTAATCGTTATCATCATAGTATTCATTGTCATCATCATCATAATGATAACCAAAACCACACTGTAAAAAGGAGTCTTTTCGGTGTAAATTATAGAATGATCATTTTAAAACTTAGATAATACTTTCCCCTCCTTATAACTAAACTTCAATGGTTTCCCATCTTATTTAGAATAAAATCTAAACTCCTTAGCATGGTGGAGTGGTCGACTGTTGGCGTTACCAGCCTGTCCTCCAATCCCTACACCCCTTCTCTTGGCTTAGCACCCTGAAGTTTCCTTTAGGGACCCACTTTCCTCATACTCTTAGCATATATTCCAGATGGAACTTTCTTCAGTTCTGAAGTGGGTGCTTTCCTCAGGACTGACCAGCCAGCATATCCATTCCCCTGGACACAGGAATAGGTTCAGAGACAGACACACGACCCCAGTTGACCCAGTGAGGATCAGGTATGAAAACAATGTGGCAATTCTTAGAAAATGAGAGCAATCTTCTAGGATTGCAAAACTGCTCAGAATATACGACGGAATCTTATAGTCTTCACTAACTGGTGACATTCTTGCCACATCTTGGCTTTCTGGAAATGAAGCAAAGCCAGAGAAAACAGAGATGGGGAGAGAGACAGATTGCCAATGACACCAGTCTGAACTCATTTCTGTCCACATTTGATCTTCTTAGACACCTTGAGCCAGTTTAAACCGAGTTTTTAATTTGCATCCACAGAAGTCCAGACTATTCACCTGGCCTGAGTGGTCTGTCCCCTGTTGACCTCTCCACCTCATCTCGTGCCTCATTCCCCTTTGGTCTCTATATGACCAAAGGTGCTCTTTCCTACCCAAGTGACTTTATTCTTATTGTCCTCTTTCCCCTGGATATTCTTCCAAATGTTCTCCACTGGCTCTTCCTCCACGTTCAGATCTCAGCTTAAGCGCTGCCCTTCTCAGAGATTTTCCTGACTGTCCGACATGGGCCGCACACCGCACACACGCTCACATGCTAGAACTTCCAGTCTCCAGAGGCCAGGCACCATGTGTGACTTGTTCAGCATTGTTATCCCAGGGCATGACAGTGGGCCTGGCACACAGTAAGTGCTACAGGAATATCTGGGAGCAAGTTCCTTGAATGTGCCAGACTTGTTCTGCTTTGCCTTCTGCCTAGAATTCTCTTTCCTCTGTTCTTTGCAAATTGGCTTCTTATTTCAGTGTCAACCCCAGTATCCTTTTCCTGGAAAGCCCCTTCCTGGTTATAAAGTCTAACATAAATGCCCCCACATCCGATCCTCTCTATCACGTCACTCAGTTTGTATTCTTCATCATACTTTCACATCCTGCAGTTATCTTGTTCCATTTTTCACTTATTTGTTTATTTTCTGGCCCCAAACAGAACATAAGCTCCGTGAGAGCAGGGACTGTGTTTGTCCCCTTCAAAGCTTCATTCCCATCACCCTCAGCAGTGCCTGGCACATAATAGGCTCTCAATAAATATATGTTGGCTGTCTGACTGACTGATTGAATGAATGAATGAATGAAAGCCAAGCACTACAGATTGCACTCATTTGAGTGCTTTGCATATTGTCACAACAACCGTATGAAGTAAGCACTATCCTACTAGCCCCATAGTACAGAGAAGAAAACTAAGTCTAAGAGAAGCAATGTAATTTGCCCAAGGTCACATTATCAGTAATTTCAGAAGCTGAAATTCAAATTCAGATATGCCTGTTTTACAGATGACAATTCATCATCTACTCATCAAAATATCTGTTTTATTACTCCTAATGTGACTTTGGAGATCACAGCTGGGCTCCAAGTAAAAAAATAGGATTCCTACCTCTCCCCCTTCCCTCTCTCCCATGAACCTTATCCTCTACAGGGAGAGCAGCTGGACAGCTATGGCTCTTGCCCCCTCAGGTACATGGGGTGGGGCTGGCCCTGGTGGGCTCACCACACACAAGGAAGCAGGGGAGGGCACCTTATTTGTGGGCTTCAGCTCCAAAAGAGAGAGCTAAGCAGGGGCTGGCCTGGGCTGGCCCTGGGACCTTTCCCCTAAACTGTCTCTCTTCCCAAGGGGCTAAGGCTCAGGGAGGGGAGGGAGTGAGGGGTCTCGAGAGAATGGCAGAATTATTTTCCTAATACTTCCAAGAAGGCCAAAGTTCCTGTTTTATGGAAGGCATAACATGGGGTGGGGGGAGAATACTTCCTCTGCTCCTAGGCTGATTGTAAAAGAAAAATCCTCAACTTGCAGTTGATGTTGGAGGTAGGGGTGAAGGATGGGAATGTGGTGGGTGGGGGGCAGTGCAGAGAGATATTATATCTCCATTAGCAGTGCAAGGGCTCAGCTCAGCTAACGTAAGCAGATCCCATCTAAAACATCACTCAGTGCCTCTGTACTACTTTGGAGTGCAGTTCAAACTCCTCCCCAGGGAAAGGCCCCTGCTGGGCAGGCTGGCCCTTCTGCACTTTGGTCTCCTGCACCCCTCGGGCATCTCCTTCAGCTATTCATCACACCCTGGGCCTCTGTACATGTCACTTCTTCTCTCCCTGGTTATTTCGTATTCAGCTCTCAAGATTAGACAATTGACTAAGAGCAGCTTGAAGGCAGATAATGCCTTACTTATCACCATATCCTCAGGTCGCGGAGAGTGCTTGCTTGCCTTCGAGGAGCATCAGTGCATCTTCTGAAAGGCAGCACTGCTGGAGGCCTTCCTGGTGCTCCGTGCTAGTACCAAGCTGACGCTGGGTGCTTCTCAGGACCAGGGCGCACGCTGGCTGAGGATGGCTCGCGGCTGGATAAACTGAATTCTCATTCATCTAGGAGCATGCCCGACTCTGCTTCTGATCCTAGAGGGCCTTAAACGGATTTCCCCCCCAATATTTCTGGCAAGAGGGGCAAGGGATAGGAACGTTTGTCGTGGGGTTTAAACATAAAGGAGTTAAGAGCTGGGAAGTGCCTCCTTGGTCAACATATAAATTAGATCAAACTAACATCTCACATTCCTTTTGTCTTTTTCATAATCATAGAGGAAGTGGAGGAAGAGAATGGGGAACTTGAACAAAAATTCTGGCAGCTCTAAATGCACCCAGTCCCTGTTCTCTTTCAAACTCATAATTCCCAATGCATCATTCATTTGTAATTAAGCACTGCTTTGTGAGGTCTCAGAAAGCTTCCTATTGCTTTTCACTATGTAACTTTCCGTGCCTGCCTTTGGTACCCTCGGTGTTAGCCCACCAGGGGATGTCCGAGCCCCTTCAGCATCCAGCACGGTGCCTTGCACATAATAGGTGCGTTCATTAAATTCTTGTTAAGGAATTATTGAATACGTTCTTCGGGAGAAAGAAGTGAACATGAAACATTTCTCTCAGGGTGAGAACAAATATTTCTGTGTGAGATATGAATCAGCTAGTCAGCGCAAATTGTGTTTCTATATGCTCACCAGGTGTAGCTTTCGCTGAGATTGAGAAATTCGTCGCTGGAGAATAATAAAGTGGGCGGGGAACTGAAGGCTCGAGCTGCGAGGAGGAGGCGGAGTCACCGAGAGTTTGAGTATTTTTGTCCAATCAGAAGGAGGCGGTAGGAGCAGAAGGGGGAGATAAAAGGGGAGCGGGAGATCAAGAATCCTGCCCAGTTACACCAGCCCGCCCGCCGGAACTGCAGTTTCTCGGCTTAGGTGCTTCTGCCCCGCGGGAGCGGCCGATTCCGAGGCCGACTCCGGCAATGGCCTTTGCAAATCTGCGGAAAGTGCTCATCAGTGACAGCCTGGACCCTTGCTGCCGGAAGATCCTGCAAGATGGAGGGCTGCAGGTGGTGGAGAAGCAGAACCTGAGCAAAGAGGAGCTGATAGCCGAGTTGCAGGTAAGGCGAACGGAAGAGAGACGAGGGTTTGGTGACATGGCATCATCCCCTGCCGAAACCGGCCGGCCGGCGCCGGGGCCAGCGCGCCCCACCCCCACCCCCGTCCCCGGTACCAGTCAATCCTGGGGCCTCCCGAGATTGGGGGCTGGGGGAGGGAGAAACAAACCGCGGCGAGCGGGATGCAAACTTTGCGTTCAGTTTGCAACCGCGTGTTTCACGTTGGCTCGCCTCCCGCCAGCACTGCAAAGTGCAGGCTGCTCCAACTGGTCCTGCGGGCTGCCCCGAGGGATGCCCGCGCGAAGGCGCACAGTGGCCCTGGCGGGGGGGCGGGGGCGAGGGCGGGAAAGGGCGCCAAAGTGGCTTCCGCGCGGGGAGCCCAGGGACCCGCGATCCTCCCCGGACTAAGTCCTGGCGAGCCCGGCCGAGTCCAGCTTTCCCCGGGGGTGGGTGGAGCGTGGGGTGGGGTGGGATGGGGTGGGATGGGGTGGGGGGCGCTGGCAGAGCCACAGCCTGTCTCGTGGCAGCTGGAGAGGCTGCAGACAAGGCGGCCCGGTTAGGGCAGCAACCGTACCCGCCTTTCGTCTGATGCAAGACTGCCGCGAGTTTTCCCCGCCCCTCGGCCTCCAGGGAGCCTTCACAGGAAAGGGGGGCGGGCGGGGGGCGCGGCCGCCCCTGCCACCCCCCACCCCCACCCCGGGATCCAGGCTTTAGTTCCTGCCCGCCTGCCTCACCGTTGGCCTCAATCGCTGGTCAGGAATGACCAGACTGGATTAGAATCCGATCCCAAACGCCCCCAGGAAATTTCTGTTTCTTAGCAAATCCTTCTCAGGCACGTACCGGTTTGTTGTGCTGCATAGTTAGCACCACCGGCTACTTCAGATCTTTCTCTAGGGGTCGTTTGTAAGGGTCCTGTGAGCTTTGGTGGCCTCGTGCAGGACATTTACTTTGTGAGCCCTTCTTGACTCTAGTTCCTGCACCCAGCATGCGGGGGTCGATGCCCCACTGTCCGAGGTATTCTCTCCCCACAGCCCCGCTCTGCCGCCTCCTACCAACCTCGCTCGACCCCAGCGCACATCCAACCCCTCCATTTTCTCCCCGAAGGGCCCCCTGAATCAAACCACAGAGCGGCCGCAGTTGCTGGAGCTGTGCCGGAACCACATGGTCCTGCAAACTGTCGGTGCTCCCTTGCTTGCCCTTGTATTTGCTGCTGTGTTTCTCCACGGCACGTGCCCCCCACCCCCTCCACCGCCATGGTGCTGTATCTGGGCACTCAGAGAGTAAGTCTCGTGCTGTCCCGGACTTAGAGAAGTGTCTGAGTCCCCGCCTTCGGGAAGCTTGTGGACTCCTTGGGGAGCCTGGCCAACACTCCAGGACACCCCAGGATTGACCAGATGGCACAGCACGTGAGTGCCAAGTGAGACCACCCAGCAGCCTAGTCTCTGCCCTGCTACTGCAAAAGTGGACAAAAGGGGGGTGATTAGCCTGAATGGGGTGGGGGACAGGGGCTCACGACCTGATCCTTGGAGCGCGGTAGGACTGGATGGGAGGCAGGCACCTCCCGCTTGTCCCCTCCTCTTTTGTATGGGTGCTGTCAGTGGCCTTCGCTCAGGGCAATGGCCAGAAGGCAGTGCAATGGCCTCCAGACCCGCTTCTGACTCTCACCTCCGCCACAGCACCAGGGTGGGATGAGTGGCCTCACTTGGGGCTTTGTAGCTTTCCTGTGGAAATTAGAAATCCTCATTTGTAGGATTTCGAGGGAGGGGGGCAGGTGGGGTAAAGGCAGAATTGAGAAGAACGGGAGGCCTCTCCAGTTGTGGAGGGGTTCGTGAAGTTGGGAAGTTGGCCGGGTGGGTTGCTGGAGTCTGGAGCTGCAAGTTGGAGGACATTTTAAAGGCACTGAAAGCTCCTGGTGGGAGAGGAGGGAGGGGTGTTTGTGGGCTACTGGCTGGCTGGGGCGTGGCTGGGCTATTCGGGGAGCCCCCAGCCTTCGGGTCTGTCTTTCTAAAACATTCGCTTCAGAATGCCAGCTAGTCCACCTGGGCAGCCCACTGGAGGGGCCCCATGTCCATACTGTGTCCTTTTATTCTGGGTGGAAAGGTGTCCCAAGTTCGTACCCCCTGCCCTCTCCCACTGAAATCTTTAATTCTCCAGGACGCTTGAGCACATTGCCTGCCCAGGCCTGGCCTCTGTTCCCACGCCTTGGTATTCCGGGCAGACACAGTTTGCTCTCGTTCAGTCCGTGGTCAGGATGTACAATTACTCCGCATCCCCCACCCGCCCCCGAGAATGGGGCTTTTCAGACTCCGAGCAAGTCACTGCACATTAGTGGGTAGTAAAGTCGGTTTAATGGGTCGTGATTAGCATTTTACAAAACAAAATAAGAAATATCTGGGAGCAAGGCAGATAGTCAGGCTAAGTAGTGTGTCATGAAATTTGTTTCAGTTATGTGGGCCGTGTTGCGACCTGTGCGGTTTGTGAGTATAAAACCACAACTTAAACATATATTTCTTACTGTAAATCTTAGTCAAAAAAGTATGGAAAACACTGGCTTGGAATAGTAAAGCATCGTGTTCAGAACTCACAAAACTCTTAGACTGGGGACCCCTCTTCTATCAGCAGATGTGACATCTTAAATAAACCGTATACATAGCAGCCTTTAAATATTACCACGTATCCCTGGCTTTTAAACTTTGACCATGACCCAAAAGAAGAAATTCATTCTGCATCATAACTCAGGATACACATACATATGTGTACACACACACACTAAAGTTCCATGAAATAATACCCTTACTATATGTGATACATATATTTTTCTTTGTTTTATTGAATAGCAGTGCTGGTCAGAAACCAGTAAGCCACATGCTAGTAATGCATTTAACTTACTGAGCACATTTATATCTCTATCTCAGAATTTTAAGAAAGATCGAGAAGGGGAAAATTTTCCATGCAAGAGTCCATCTTTTGAAAGGCTCTTTTAAAATAGCAAGTTCTGGGTGCCTGGGTGGCTCAGTCAGTTAAGCGTCTGACTCTTGATTTCGGCTCAGGTCATGATCTCAGGGTCCTGGGACTGAGCGCCCAGTCGGGCTTCGCTCTCAGCAGGGAGTCAGCTTGAGGATTCTCTTTCTCCCTCTGCCCCTGCTCGACTGCGTGCGCACGTGCGTGCTCTCTCTCTCTAAAATAAAAATAAATAAATCTTTGAAAAAAATTAGCAAGTTCTCAGCCTTTGCACTAGCATTTAATTTGCAGAAGTTAAATAGACATCTACTAAATCAGAATCACACATATAGTGCCAAACAGCACCTTCCTGCATCCTCTAGCTGGGGAACAACGACCTGAAGAGTTTGGCTTTCTGTATGATTTAAGTCAGAGGCACCAGCCATGCTAGAATCACCCTCAAGGCCAAGCCTGTCCTCCTTGGGAAAGGAAGCGTGTTTGAACTTGAGAAATGTGAATGCTTTCTACTGCTGAGTTAGCATAGTTTTTCTGGAACAACTATAAATCCAGCAGAGGAGTGGCCGTTTTCCAGCTCTAAGACAGCTGCGGCAAAATGGGTGCAGTTTTGAGAGGTGGCCAAAATGGCCCCCACGACGCTGGAGAAAAGAAAGCTGTAGTCACAGCCGACTGCACTGAGGGCGTGGGAGGGTGTGCTAAGGCCTGCAGTTTGCATAAGTAGAGTAGAGGAGCAGGCTGCTTGGAGCCAAGTCTTGGAGGGGTGACTTGTGACCTGAGGAGGGGATGGTATCTAGGAGTGCTGGGGTTTTGAGGGGTCGGCAGGAGATAGGTCACCAGTAGGCTCTCAATCAATATGTGCTGATTGAACGTTATCAATTGGTGATGCGATTGAATCAAGAACTGCATGAAATGGGGGGTAGTGGAGGGTGTTAAGAGACCTTGAAAGCTAGTGGACCCTGGCTCAGTGTGGGACCAGGGTCGGCTGAAGGGGAGTCTCCAAAGGCGGATTCCCTACTTGGGATAGGTGAGCTCTGAATGAACATCTGTACTGGTCGGACTGGAAACGCTTCAGACTTCTGGCTTCAAAGAAGGCTGGTCTGAAGGATGCCTCCCTTGAGGGAAAAGTATGGAGAGACTACGGGGTAACAATGCTATGTAGACAAGGCTGGGCCTGTTCAAGGCTAATCGTGCTGTTTCTGTGCTTGTCCTGGGGTCTGCAAGCATGGGGTGGGCTGCTGGGACTCTGCAGCGCCCCCCCCCCCCGCCCGCCGTGGGAAGCAGATTCCTAAGGTTTGGGGAGGGTGGTGGTGGCTTTGGAGAAAGCATTTGAGGAGGCCAGATTCTTGGGGCCCAACGGGGTGATTGGGTAGAGCATCCGGAGCAGGACTGTGCCTCAGATTTGGGCCCAGGAACTTGATACTAGAGTGGCAAGGTGAAAAGACTGTGACTCTTTGGGTGGTCCCGCTCCAGGCCTGCTTCTTGTCAGTTGACCCTTGGTCCTGGACTGACCACTTCAAAGGAGGTTTGACTTCCTCAGTGTGTTAGTAGTGACCAGAGGTGTCAGAACTGGTGGTGAGGGAATGCACGGTGAAAATGTGCTCGCACGCTGCCTGATTGCCCTCTCCGGGTTGTGCAATTTATACTCCTTTTTCCCTGCACGCTCACCAATGTGGACTATTACCACTTTTCGTTTTGCCAATATGATGCCTGAAAATACCACATTTTAAAATTTACATTTTCTTTTTTTTTATGATTTTATTTATTTATTTGAGAGAGAGACAGGCAGAGATAGCGAGAGAGAACACCATGAGTGGGAAGGAGAGGGAGAAGCAGACTCCCCGCTGAGCAGGGAGCCCCATGTGGGACTCGATCCCAGGACCCCGGGATCATGACCTGAGTCCAAGGCAGACGCTTAACCAACTGAGCCACCCAGGCATCCCCAAAATTTACATTTTCTTGATATCTAGCAGTTTAAGAGTCTTTAAAAGTTACTGGCCACTTTGTGTTTCTCCTGCGAATTACCAGCTTGGACCTTCACCTGTTTTTGTACTGGGTTCTTTATCATTTAAGAAAATGATTCATAGGAAGCCTTGATTATTTTTGGTGATGAGTCTTTGTTCTGTCATATATGGTGTAAGGATTTTCCCCCATATTAAGCCTATCACTTGACTTTAACTTTGTTTATGGGATCTTTTCCATAAGAAATTAACATTTGAAAATTGTTAGAGCACACGACTCTTGATCTTCAGGGGTCATGGGTCCTAGAGCTTACTTAAAAAAAAAAAATTGACATTTGAAAAGTTATCAAATTTGTCGGTATTTTCTTTTATGGTTTCTGGGATTTTTGCCTTGCTTATGAAGCTTCCCCATTCTGAGATCATAAAAATATCCCCTTACATTTTCTTCTAATGCTTATCTTTAAAAAATTATTTAATTCTTCTGGATTTTTAAAAATTTGTAGTGAGTTTTTTTTACCTAAATTTTCCTAATACCCTTTATCACATAGCTCTTCCTTTCCCCTTCAGTTTGACATACATGGGTCTGTTTGTCTGTCCCAGATATACATGGGTCTATTTGTCAGGTGCCTATTTGGTTCTGTTGATCAATTTGTCAGTATCAGAACATTTTTCTCCCATCTCTCTCCTTCTTATGCTCACAAAACTCTTGAGTGCTGTCAAGTAGATCTGATGCCTCCTTATCACAGTCAAGAGAAGGGATTTCCCATTGTGGATTTTTGACCATGTGACATGTTTGAATTATTTAGGGAAGGAAGGTGGTGGTGGGGAGAATGGTGAGGATAGGTTTCCACCGGCCTCTCAAATCGCTGAATTCATCTATTCAACGCAGTGTTTTAGCATCAGCTATGAAGATAGTCCTGCTTTTGAGATGTAAAATATAGATGAAGAGACCAAATTGCAGGTCAGACAGAGGATACCTGAATGTAAAACAGATGATAGAAAAATAGGGGGAGGGAGTGATACTGAGTCCATCGTCATTGGCAAGGTTTCGTGGAAGAGAAGTTGACTGTGCCTTAAAAAGTTGGTAGTGGGTGGCCAGGCAGGGGAAGCCTTTTCTTTGGAACCAAGTGTAGTGGACTTGAATGTGGGACAGTCAGCAGTGTCCCCGTGTGCCCAGGCATTGGCTAATGTTCAACTAGGCTGCTCTTTAGAGGGAGGAATTCCAAGCACCCTCAAGATTCCCCTGGCTTTGGCCGGTGTTGGCAGTCAGCCCAGATGGGGTGGCTCCTATTTGGTTCCTCTAACCTTTCCGTGTCTGTGTGCCTTGGACACTCAGAAGTCACAGCATACATGTGTACTGGTGAGTTTTGGGGTGTCTGGCACTGTGAGCCCCTTGAGGGGTGGGGCTGTGACTTCTTCATCTTGTCTTAACAGAGTCTAGCATAATGCCAGATACATACCTACCAGGCACCCAGTGGATGGAAGGAGGGCATGAAAAGGGCAGGAGGAGGGGACACGGGCATCCTTGATCTTGTTGGGCTTCAGTGTCTCATCTGTGAAATGGAGTTGGACAATATTGTTTGGAGTGTCACATTTTGAGGTTCTGTTTCAGAACTGCAGACATAATAAAAGGGCTTGGGGAGCCTGGGAAGGGTCCCGCATCTGGCTCTCTGTGGAAATTGCAAAGAGGTTTACATCATTGGTGTCAGATCAGATGTGGGAAGGACCCGGGGGAGCCATCTGTTCCAACCCTCTTATTTTACAGATGACGACCAGGAGTGGGGGGGACTTAGCACCGTGACTGGAACCCCAGCCTCCCGATCCCCACAGATTGCTGCTTTTGCAACAACAGCACTTACTTCCTTACCAACCCTGGACAGCCAGTTTGGGACAGAGCATGGCTCACTCGATCCATTTCTTGGGGACTCTCATTGGGTGTTTGGGCAACAATATCATCATTCTGAGAAGATATCACAAGATTCTGGATGAGCCTAAGAAAGACTGTCTTGGGGATTAGCTTAGCCCAAGTGAAGCAGCTATGATGAATCCAGAAAGTATTTACTTTTTGCATATGTATATTTGTAGCCCCAAATTGCCTGCGTTTTTGAGCAGCTATAGACCAGTTTGATTATTCTCCCGTCCTCCCCTTACTTTGGTCTCTATTTTAGGAAATGTCTTTCTTTCAACAGTTTGTCTTTGGTTCACGTCTTAGTCATTCAGCCAGCTAGCACTTACCGAGCGCCTTCTGCGTGCCAGTCACTGGGGCTTACAAAGTAGAATTCAGTCCCCCTTCAGCAGCACCATGTCCGATGGTGGAGGTGCTGGCCATTGAGCAGAGCCAGGGAGCATGTCGGAGGCTGTACCTGTCCTTTCTCACTTCCCCTCACACACTTGAGGAGGCCAAGTCTCAGATTCGTAGCTCATGGGGGATGGAGCTTGGATTTGACCCCAGGCCTACCTGCTGGTAGCCCCTTCCGGATGGGGATGCTATCAGCTTCCTCTCTCTGAAGCTATCCAAACTCAGCCAGCATGCAGGAACTCCCCCTTTGGGCAAAGAGGTGCTAGGAGGTCTTGAGGACCAACTGTGGACCCAGATGTTTCTTCTGTCTCAGGACTGTGAAGGCCTCATCGTCCGCTCAGCCACCAAGGTGACTGCTGATGTCATCAACGCGGCAGAGAAGCTCCAAGTGGTGGGCAGGGCCGGCACGGGCGTGGACAACGTGGACCTGGAGGCTGCCACCAGGAAGGGCGTTCTGGTCATGAAGTACGTCGTGGAGCCCCGGGGGGTGGGGGTGGGGCCTCACCACACAGGTGGAGAGGAAAACTTAGGTTAGAGAAGGCTGGGTCAGAGTAGGATGGGCTTCCAGAAGGATGTCTGGGCCAGGCCGAGTCCAGACAGGCGGTCCGTGCTCACAGCGTCGTGGTTCCCCAGGTTCTTGACAAGGAGGCTCTTGTTGTAATCTCGGGTCACTTCACAAACCCACTCCACGGACGTCTGAAGCACAGCCTGGTTGGGAATCAGAGGAATGTTAGCGAATTTATCTGCCTTTCCTGCCCCAGTGCTGCCCCTTTCCCTCCGTCGTTCTGGCTGGAACAGGATGTTCGTTAGCTCTGCTTTGCTCGGTCTCCCCTCTGCAGGTGCCCAGCCTTTGCTAGTTGAGTGGCTCTACATTCTTTCCCTTCCTCCCTGCCCGGCACCCTTCTGCAGCCAGGAACCCCAGTTTCTCTTTCACACTCCAGTGCCGAGAGGGGAAGCGTCCCCGCTAGAGCTGTTTTTGCAGAAACTCAGTGCAGAGGTCATGACTGCACGCCAGGACTCGGCCACACTTGCTTCTGGCCCCCGTCTGGCACTTAGATAGTGTGGCAAGGTGATTGTCGCCCGCTTCTTCATCCCCAAGCCTTTTCCCTTCCCTTGGGAAGTTCGGTGTCCTCAAAACCTTCCTCTCCCTTCCCTTCACTTCTCCTATGGTGCAGGGGTTAATTGGTCATCTGACGGAGGTCAATATCCAACAGAAGAAATGTTAAATGGTAACGCATCCTACATTCTTGCCCTGGACACGGAGGCATCGCCCCCTGCCCTGCACCCCCTCCTACATCCCAGTACAGCCTGTTTGCAGGGTTAGATCGGAAACTAGGTGGAAAGACAGACTCTGAGAATCCTTTTCTCTTGACTTTTTTTTGGGGGGAGGTGCGATAAGATCTCTTGACTTTTCCCTCCTTGTCATCTTCATTTCTAGAGATGAAAAGATCCAATAGAGGAAAAAGGAAGGTGAACATGGGTGCTAAAAAATTATTCCAAAGCCAAAAATCAAAAAAAGAGTCTTTGAGAAAAGAAGAATAGTTTTATGGGTTTCAGCTCTATTCTCCTTTCTGTGAAATGGGCCGAGTCAGCATGGCCCTGTGCATTAAGGTGTGAGGAAGCTGTCTCACGTCAGAACGTGTGGAGAGATAGGAGAAGTCAAACAGGTGGAGAAAAAAATCCTAGCTTTGTTACTGACAGAAGCCGGGCTGGGCAGCTTGATGAAGCTGTGTGGGCAGTGGGCTGACCTGAATTTGATAGGCTTGCGTGATCACCCATCTTGGTCACAGTCTCAGGAAGAGTGATGGCAAGAGCAGCGGGAATCCGTGCTTCCCGGAGGCAGGTAGATCCTGAAACGAGAGGAAAGAGAAATGCGGAGCCACACATATATCTTCCAATCGAGCGAGACACTTCTCCGCCTTGGGAGAAGAGCTTGGGTAGAGAGGCCAGGTGTGTCCCTCCAACTGAAGTCCCTCCTCGTGAAAGCATAAAGCCAGGGCAGGGGGGTTTCCCTCTAGCCCTGGGATTGGGCAGGAGTCCATCAGAGAGCCCAGGTGGGAGGCATGGGGTTGGGGGGTTGGTTTTAAGAGCAGGTGAGCTGAGGGGGCAGGAGAGTGAGCGCATCACACTCCGGGCTTTCTGTTGGGACAGGAGTAGGAATATGGGTCTGGATCCACTGACGTCCCCTCCCTTCTTCCATCTTTAGCACCCCCAATGGGAATAGCCTCAGTGCTGCGGAGCTCACCTGCGGGATGATCATGTGCCTGGCCAGGTAAGTCCCTATCTTCTCAGCAGAGCCAGCCTCTGGTGTGTCCGTGGTTATGACTCCCCAAACAAAGTGACCCGGAGAAGGGTAGAAAACTTCTGCAGGGCACCGTGCACACTGCCGAGAACCTTCAAGGGCACCCATCCTTTATGAAACATTTGATACACTGGTTCTGGCACACAGAGTTCAGGTGGCTTCTTGCCAAGGGGCCCGGTAGGGGATGGGCATTCAGCTTGGCTGCTCCTTAACCGGAGCAGGCTCATTGAGAAAATAACTGTGTGCCATCTTCCTCTCCTCCTTAGTCATTTCCTGTGGTCCACGCCATCCTCTGGCTTCTCGAACCTCTAAGCCTCGAAAATGCGGTTCTGCTCCCTGGAATATCCTTCCCCATCTTTTTTTTTTCTGAGTCTTTCCGGTATTTTATTTTTATCACACTCATTATTAAAAATCCAACTGCACATAGGTATAAAATAGAAGCAGCGCTCAACATTTTTATTTAGTTCGGAACATTTTTGAGTGAATTAATGCCAAAATGTAACAGCCTCCATACCTCAGATACCTCTCATAACCCAGAGGTTCCCAGACTTTGTTGCACATTGATATCATCTGGGATCTTAAAAAAAATACTAATGCCTGGCCCGCGCTCCAGAGATTCTTATTTGATCGGTAAGGCGTGAAACTTGGCATGGGGATTTTTTAACAAACTTTTTATTTTAGGAGTTTTAGATATAAAGAAAAGTTGTAAAGATAGTAGAAGGACTCGGGGCGCCTGGGTGGCTCAGTCGTTAAGCGTCTGCCTTCGGCTCAGGTCATGGTCCCAGGGTCCTGGGATCGAGCCCCGCATAGGGCTCCCCGCTCAGCGGGAAGCCTGCCTCTCCCCCCTCCACTCCCCCTGCCTGTGCTCCTCTCTCAATGTGTCTCTCTCTGTCAAATAAATAAATAAAATCTTTAAAAAAAAAAATAGTAGAAGGACCCATATACTTCATACCCAGTCTTCCTATTATTAACATGGGACATTAATATGGTGCTTTGATCACAATCAGTGAACTAATATTGAGATATCAATTGATAACTTTTAACTAAACTCTTCCCTATCATCTTTATCCAGGTAACTCTTATTCTTCAAGATTAAGCTCAAGTGTTAATTCATCTGAGAAGCTCTCTCTTGATTCCCTGGCGGGGCTGTGTCCCTCACTGATTGCCCTGGCCCCCAGGGCTTACCTCTGTACTAGGCTTACAGATCTTTATCGTGATAGAAGGGAGTAAAAGCTCTATCTACTTGTGGATTTTTTTTTTAAGATTTTATTTATTTATTTGTCAGAGAGAGAGCACAAGCAAGGAGAGCGGCAGGCAGAGGGAGAAGCAGGCTCCCCGCTGAGCAAGGAATCTGATGCAGGACTCCATCCCAGGACCCTGGGATCATGACCTGGAAGGCAGACGCTTAACCAATTGAGCCACTCAGGTGTCCCTACCTGTGGATTCTTAACACAAGGGAATTCAAATGATCAAATGTCTTGCTCTTCCAGCAGGAATTCTGGGGGTGTGGGCCTCTTGAGTAGAGGGGACAGCCTAGGAACCACTGGATACAGCGCAGAATGGGCATGAATCTTCCTGTATTGGGTAGTAGAATGATTGTATCGAGTACTGTTGTTGAATAGGCAATTCGGGCACTTCTGTGGTCAGAGGGGAGGGCAAGGAGCCAATGGACAGGGCAGGGAGTTCACTAGGTCCCTTCACACACCCTTGGATCCTTAAACCAGGGGACCCAGGCAGCCAAGACTCTTTATTTCTCTACTCAGGCCTGAAGCTTCTGGGGCCCAGAAATTACTCTTTTCCCCTCTCAAGACTTGTTCTCTCTTCTTCTGGGACAGGGTCTGGAGGAGTTGACCTTTGTTCTAACTCTTCCCCATGATTTCTACCTGAGCTCTTAAGTATTCATTGCTACTCACTGGCCAGTGAAGAGCAGAGGAGACTGGAGAAAGGGAGGAACAGGGACAGCGTGCGCAGCCAAAGGGACCCAGCCTGGAAGGGGTCCGTGAGCTGGCTGTCTGGATCTTCCAGAACATCTGGGCTGGACTGATTTCCCCTGGAGAAGCCTCAAGCCCTGTTTTCACTTGTGCTGTTAAATTCAGTGGTGTTTTTGTTTTTGTTTTTGAGTGAGGGACTGATCAGCTTTCTAGTTAATTAATTCTCTTACTCTTTTTCTAGAGGTGGAAGGAAGGGCTTGGGAGCCAGGAATAATTTTTCTCCTATTCCAAGACCAGCTTTATTTAAGAGAATAGGTAAAGGGGGCACCTGGGTGGTTCAGTCAGTTAAGCGTCTGCCTTTGGCTCAGGTCATGATCCCAGGGTCCTGGGATCGAGCACCACATTGGGCTCCCTGCTCAGCGGGGAGTCTGTTTCTCCCTCTGCCTCTGCTTCGGCCCCATGCTTGTGCTCTCTCGCTCTCTCTGACAAATAAATAAAATCTTAAACAAAAAAAAAGAATAGGTAAAGTGGAGTGGTTTCAAGGAAGTGCCCCATTTCCAACCTCTCATCCAACGACCTCACCATCAAAGATGCATCAAAATTAAGAACTAAGCACTCTAGTAAGGAAGCATGGCCAGTCTCTCATACCTTCTTGTGTGTCTGCTCAGACTGCTTTTCCAGCAGGGCAGTGAGGGCAGAGTGGGTGCTGTGGACAGAAGGTTGGGAGCATTGAGCAATGTGGGTGGAGAGAGGGGGCCTGGACGGGCCTCACACTGGGGGACTTTGAACAGACGGCAGGAGCTCCTGAGGTTCAGGGGAAGAACAGTGACAAAGAAAGAAAGAGAAGAGAATGCGGCCTGCATAGCTTTCATCTCGCCCACTTTACCTTCTCTTTTTGTAAGTCAGGATGGCTACCATTTGGTTCTCGGGAAGCCCCTCGCCCACATCATGGTCCTCCCCAGACTGGCCCGGTGAGGACCCCAAAGTGCTAAAGGCTGGAGAGGATCCGTGAGTAGCTGGTAGAGCAGCTGGTGGGGGCTGGGATGTCCAGGGCCACGTGCCCTCTCTCGGATGGCACTGTGGGGCCAGGAGGGTGGAGAGCAGGACGTGAGCCAGATCTGGGAGGAGGCAGGTGGGCTCTGTCTCACTTGGTCGGAGGCATAGGAGCAGGCTAGCTTTGCTGAGAAGGTAGCCCTTCCTCAAGGCAAGTCATTGTCCTTGGGACATTCCTGACACAAGGACCCTCTCCTGAGGACTGACGGGCCAGAGGAACAGGATGGAAATTCTTGCCCACGAGGCTTGTTACTGAAGCTTTAGGAGTTTGCCCGTGAGATCGCAGGAGCACAGATCGCCCCTCAACCTGACCCTCAGATGGAAGCGTGTGCTGGCAGTGTGTAGACACAAGAGAATGTTTTCTTATAAGAACTCGGTGAGATGGAGCTACAGGAACAGTATGTTGGAGTCTCTCCCTCCTTACACACGCACACACACACTCGCGTGCACACACACACCACTCTGAGTTTTGTGGCCAGCAGGAAAGACTGCATTTAAATACTTAGAAGGCTGACTGTGCTGGGGATGTGCTGGGCTTTGAGTCCATTCAGCTATTCCGCGTGGGATGATGCTGTTCAAGGTGTTGAACCCCCCGGTTGTCTCTCTCCATGCAGTTGGGGTGAGCATGACATGTGCTAAAGCGTGTCTAAGCATTTCTCATGGAGTGTCTAAAATAGAGCAGGGACTCCTTAAACATTCTAAACATTGTTTTCTGTCTCCCTTCTTCGCTTCCAGAGAAGCCTGGGTGGCCACCTCCCACATGACATACTCTCATCCTCTCACCTCTGACTCTGCCCTAACTTCCTCTGTCCCTTCCAGAAAACACCCCATGTTAACCAAGTTAACCAAGAGGAGGAGATAGGCTGGGGGGGTGGTTTGGGACAGGAGGTGGTATGGACTTGGCACCCACCCACCCCAGTCTAGCCTGAGATGGCTAGGGCTTAAGAAACTCTCAAGGAAGAATAAGTACCCAGCTGTTCACTGATACAGTGGAAGGTATGGGTTGCAGCCTTGGATGGAAGAGGAAAACGAAAATCCTTGAACTTCTGGAGCACTTGATGTTATCCGAGCCCCTCGATACCCCATTTCGTTATCCCTATGAGCCCCGGAGGATTGGCGCTTGCTTTTTACCAGCCTGGAGCCACTCAGCTGGTTGAGGCAGCTGGAGACAGAAATCAGACTCCTAGCTGGAGACAGAAATCCTGGGGCTCCCACATCAGGTCTCGCTGACGGATTTCCCTCTGCTGAACTCCCTTGACCCTCCTCGGTGTCTCTGCACCTGAGCTCCAGACCCAGCCTGAGCTTGGTTCCCCGGGGGAATGACCATTAGAGGGGGCAGCTGTGCAGACCTCACGTCACACGCCTTCTGCGTGGGCCCACTGAGCCCGTGTCTGTCCTTGCAGGCAGATTCCCCAGGCGACGGCTTCCATGAAGGACGGCAAATGGGAACGGAAGAAGGTGAGCAGCCAGCCCTGCCTCGTCCCGCCCGGCTCGGCGCCCGGGTTCCTGGTGCTTACTTCGGCCACTTTGCCTTTTGCTTTTTTGGTTGCAGTTCATGGGAACAGAGCTAAATGGAAAGATCCTGGGAATTCTTGGCCTGGGCAGAATTGGGAGAGAAGTGGCCACCCGGATGCAGTCCTTTGGAATGAAGGTAAGAGGTTGGTGAACCCCTTTGACGTGGGGCTCCCTGTAGCAGTTTTGGGAGAGGTAGCTTTGCTTGAGAGAAGGTGAAGGCTTTGTCCATGGAGGGTCTGACCCTCCTTTAGAGCCCCTAAGTTGGCGGGGTAGCCATTCTGGATACCTGAACTCAAAGTCTGGGCACGCTTGGTGGAGGTCCGTCAGCTCTGGGTCCCAGCGGAGCGGCGGGGTCATGCATCCTGCTCAACTTTTCCTCCCCTGCCACAGGGGCTCTTTGATTGGCTGTGTCTGTTGCCTGTGATAATTCAGAGAAACAGGAGGAAATTTGCAACCTTCTAGCAGAGCAAGTCTCTATCCACCTTTTAGCTCTGCTCTGTAGTGCAGAAGGGACGGTGCGGTGATTGTCTAGACGCTGCTGAGATGAAGTTAAAGCCTGCTGGCTAGAACACCTTGCATATTGCTCAGAAACCCTCCCTGACCCCTGTTTCCCTCCAGGACCCGGTTTCATCCTATTCTGGAAACTCCGTGGTTCTTCTGGTCGAGGGAGGGTTGTCATCCCCTGAGGCCGATCCAGGAGACCTTGCAAAGGGGGAGGCCACCGAGCCACAGGAGGGGACCCGTCAGGGCGGGTGACAGGGTGGCCAGGAGTGCTCGTGGACGTCTCCTTGTTCACTCTTTGTTCGCTGTTTGCTGTTAGGAGCATGATGTGTTCAAACTGCTGCCAGGAAGGCTTTCATTAAACAGAAAGGAGAATAGTTTTGACAATCAGATCATTTCTAGAAAAATTGACATTTTCCCTTTTTCTCCTTCTTCCTCCCTTTCTCCATGTCCCTCTGGCTTCATAGAGTTAAAAGGAACCTTAGAGATGAACCCTTAATTTTATATTGATGTCTGGAGTTTGTTTTTGCTCAGGCCTCCAGCAAATGGAAGGTAGACAAGAACCCAGGTGGGCATCCCGTGATACCACATTGAACATCTTCCTCTCCCTGCTGTCCCTGTTCCCCCACCACATTTATTTACACCAGCCAGACCTCTTTCCTAAGCCTCAGCACATTTTTCTAGATCCCTGGAGAGGGGGCGGGGGCCCGGCAGGATCCACTGATCATGAGAACAAACCGAAGCCTTGCCCTCCTGTGCAGGGCTGGCCAGGTGCCATACGCGGCAAGGAGAGCTTTCTCTTCCTCTTTTGTGAGGGATTAAGGCTTAGCTCACAGACAATTCTGATCCTCTAAAAGCAGGGGCCTTGGGTTAAGTATGACTCAGAGTGAAATAGCCAAACAGGTGCATGCCTCGTTGATGATACAGAGACTTCAGGAAGGCTGTTTGTCCCCTTCCCCATGGCTCCCTAGGGCACCAAAGCACACCGGCCTCTGCTAGCTCAGGACCCTTGGTTATCATGGACTTGAAACTTTGGGGCAGTGACTTACCCAAACAGAAAGCCCCACCTCATTTCCTGAGTCATGGGAGTGATTGGTAAGCTTCTCTGCTCATCTGGCCCGGGCTCAGCTTCTCAGCTGCTGCCGGGCTGCTTCCGAGAGGCACGAGGGAGGTGGACCCTGAGCCCTCGGGCATGTGTTTGATTCAGAGATGTCCAGAGCCTGCTCATGAATGTGAATCCGTGCGTCCCGACAGACCACGCATGACACGCCCACGTTCCCAGCGAGGCTTTGAGGGTGTGGGTGGTTTTGCCTGTCACAGCACGTCGCTGCTTCCCTTGAGGGTTCTTCTGCCCGGCTGTCTCCGGAGGGTCACTGTAGGCTGTCTTGCTTCTGGCACATGATCTTTGTAAACTGCTAAAACATGCCTTGGAGTGGTCACCCACCCCCAAGCCCCCCGGCCCTGGCCAGCTGCCCTGGTCATTTCAGAGTGGCCCAAATGGCCTTCATTTATATTCTCGGCTCACTTTGACTGAGCTTCCTAACCTATTTCTGGGTCCAGATGAATTTTGCCTTGGTGCAGATGACTGACCTGCATCATCCAAAGCTCCTTGGTTGATGTTTGAGCAGCTGGGAAGAGCAAGATTTTCTAAAGGCAAGGAGGGAAGATTCTTGAACAAATTGTGAAAGAGATGGTTTATCAGCATCCGGGCAGGAAACAATGATCAGTGTTTACTAAACACAGGTTGTTTTAAACTGGCCTTGTTCTCTCTTTGGAAACCGATATTAGACTGATTGATCAGGAACATCCTTAAGTGTCTTATATCTGGACGATTTAAAATTGTATTTTAATCATGTAAGAGGTGAATGAATCCTCACGTATCTTGAAATATAGATCCTTATCTCCTTGATTACCACCCCAGTCCTGGTCTCACAGGTAACATCAGTTTGGTGTGTATCATCTCAGACTTTTTTCTATGCGTTTACATGGAATGCATACAGTTCTTGGCCTATAGAGGGATTCTATGCCTATAGAAAATAGAACATTGTACATGGTGTTAAGATAAAAATGTATGTCTTGGAATAAATAAATTTACCATATTTGTAAACTATTGCATGGAATTCTGTTGTGTGGACAAATTGCTTTTTATTTGACCATTTCCTCAAGGATGGACATTGGAAATGTGAACTTTAGTAAGACATTGGTGAGATCTTTTAGGATACCCTTGGGGTTAAGATGGAGACTGTGAGCTTGGTGCTAAAAGGTTTAGTAACTGGTTGAAGGATAGCTCCATCTCAATCTGGAGGGAGATGGTACAGGATGGTGCAGGGCGCTGCCTTCTCCATGGTTCTCATCAACGGCCTGGGTGACAGGAAGCAGGGAGAGGTGGCTAACTTTTAAGAGTGTGGAATCAGACCCTAAAAGACAAAGGAAGGCTAGAATGGTTGGGCATCCTAATAGGAAGTTTAGCTAGAATCCCTATCAGTGCCCTAAAATGAGCCCCAAAGCAACTAAACACATATTGGATGTAGAAGTGTTGTTAAAAAGCTTTCCCAAGGCAGGGGGCCTTTGGTTGACAAAAATGCAGTGTGGTTAACAGTGGCATGGCTGATAGAAAAGGTAATGTGACTTTTGGCAGCATTAAAAGAACTATGGCTTCCAGAACAAGGAAGGTGAGATTCCTCATGCTCTGTACCAGTCAGACCCTCACATGCTCCGTGAGACTGAAAGCTCTGGAGATAGAGGTAGAGGATGATGGTGAGAGGCTCATGTCTGTACTTCCTAAGAAAGGCTTGAAGGCACTGGGGTCATTGAGCCCCATCATGACTTGGGAGGCATACCAGAAGGCCGTCAAATAGCTAACGGGCAGTCTGTAGAAGAGTCATGCTGTCTAAAGAGTGGATCCAAGGAGGACCAACAGGTACAAGGCAGAGGGGACAGAACTACAGCCCGAGCTGGCCCCAGATTCAATGGGGAGAGCGAGTGTCCGACTCCTGCAGACACCCACAGGAGACTGGGTGAGCACTGGGCCAGTGTGTGAGGACAAGGTGTGAACACTGGCAGGGAGGTAGAAGCAGGTGGCCTTTAAAGCTCTGATATCTCCGAGGACCCATTACCCGTGGGCCACGAGTTTCTTTATCTGTGAAATGGTCTTTAGCAGTGAGTTCACTGAGCGACCATAGGAAATTGAGCAACATTATAAAGGACTGTGGTTTGTTACAGTAACTTGGGAGAACCCTGTAATTAAAGACAGAGTGTGGACCAGGAGGCATAGGGGACCCTGAGTGGTTCCAGTTGGGCAGCTCGGGCAGCGCTGCAAAGCATATGAAGATCATCCTCATCACCCCCTTCCCTCCCTGGTCCTGGGGTCTTTTTTTTTTTTTTAAAGATTTTATTTATTTATTTGAGACAGAGAGAATGAGAGACAGCATGAGAGGGAGGAGGGTCAGAGGGAGAAGCAGACTCCCCGCCGAGCAGGGAGCCCGATGCGGGACTCGATCCCGGGACTCCAGGATCATGACCTGAGCCGAAGGC